GAAGATAACCAAGCAGTACACGCAACGTCTTTTCATGGTTGGAGGACAAAGAAAATTGATTGGCAGATATGACATCAAACAGGCAACTTGCATGTTCGGCGAAATTAGGAATGAAACGGGAGTAATACTGAAGTGCTCCTAGAAGTGAACGCAGTTCTTGTAGATTGGTTGGTGATGGCGCATTTACTAAAGGAGATAGACGGTTTGTATCGGGTTTGAAACCGTTGCCATCCATAATGTAGCCAAGGCAGGAAAATGATGGAACACCAAAATGCACTCATCATGGTGTATAGCTACATTGAACTCAGAAAATCGCTTCAGTAAGGACAACAGATGCATATCAGCATGTCAGCAGCGTGCACTATGACGTTATTTCGGTACGTCTCCAAACCCTCCGAAACTTTTGCAATAGTATTCATATCTTGTTGAAATACAGCTGGTGAAACGTTCAGACCAAAGGGAAGGAAATTGTATCCGAATAACCCAAAGGGTGTGTTGATCACGGTAAGATTACTAGAGGCTTCATCCAGTGGTGTTTGAAGATAGACATCTTTTAGATCGATATTTGAAAACATACTTGAATCTGATAAACAAATCGAATAAACGATACAGTAAATCTTCTGGCTCTTCCGTGGTGCATGTACGTTGTAGTAACCACGTATTCAGCGTTAGCCGGTAGTCACCACAAATTTTCGGAGTAATGACACCAGCCTTCAGTGAGGTAACTATCGGAGTTGCCGAAATCGATTATTCGACAGGAGTCAGTATTCCTTAAGCTTGGCGAACAGGCTCGCCTAAGCCGAATGGATTAATTCGTCTCTTAAGAAATATAGGCTCTCCTGTAACTTCGATCCTCACCTTGGGAATTTGCATGCCACCTGCAGCCTTAGAACACTTAAGAATCAGTTGTTTGAGTTCATTGTCACTCACAGAAATCAGTAGGGTCATACTAGTTCGCAGTGAGCGTAGATCTTTGAGTCCGATAATCGATGGTCCTGATGTTGAAACCAAAAAATTACAATCGATAGAGGTACCTTGAGGTAATCTAACGGGGATCGTGCAACTACTAGCTAGAGGTACAGAATGTCCAGTGATACAACGAATGTTAACACCTGTAGGCACTATCACGACACTGGGGTAGAATGCCGTTAGATCTGATTGTGGAATAATGGACTCAAAACTATCAGTGTCAACAATGAAGTCATGCTTTTGACCAGAAGCGGATATCAACGTTTTAAAAACATGCGACGAATTTTGAGACAAAACAGACGGAGGAAGTAGTGATGTCCTCAGATAATGCTTTCACGTCAGTGTTTGGGTCAGAATTTGGTTGACACTTTTTTGGACTTACAGACAAGTTGAATGTGTCCCGTTTTACCACAGATAAAACACTTCGCTCGCCCGTGAGGGCATGAATATCTGGAATGGTTTCGTTCACAAGATTCACACTTCCCAAATTTTTGAACCATCGGATTAGAGTTAAGATCTGTGAAGTGGCGTATTGACGGATTTGGGGCACGAGAATCTGTTCGAGGTTTGAATTTGTTGTTCGTCTGCTTCCTTGACTTATTCCTTTTAGGATAATTTAACAACTGTCTTTGTTACGTGCCTCACATCTTTATACTGCTCACATATTTTCCGAATAATTTGAATTGGGACAGTCAAGTGCCAGCAATCAGTCTACCGCGCAGTTGGCCTCCTCGTTTGGCACCGTAGTCACATTTGGCTGTCTGTGTCTGCAGCTGCAATACGAAATCACGAACCGACTGAGAATGGGAGTGGACCAACATATTGAACCTAGCTGTTTTGGCTGCCACAAAGTTAACCGGTTTAATGTGTTGCAGAACTTTTTTCTTCAATGCATTATGAGAAATATCTATTGGAGACTCAGGATATACCAAATTCTTGATCAACGTATACGTCTCCTTGCCAGCAAAATGTAGAAAATACGCCATGAGGAATTAACATCTAATGGTTCCATTTCGGCAGGCATGATGAATCGTTCCAATCGCGACGCCAAAATGTGAGAATTAAGTTTCGTACGTATATCGGTATAACCAGACAAACTAGAAATCCAGAATTCAGCGAAGCGCAACAACCAGCACGTATGTATTCGAATTGGCGTATATGTACAGCATATAGAATTTTAAAACAAGAGAATAATGAATAGAGCAATGAACAGAGTCTCAGTCATGTTCATCACATTAGCACACGTTTGTCCACTCCCTCCATTTTGATTTAGTTTTGTTGTAAACGAGAAAATGAGTCGAGCACTGAAAGGTCGCCAAAACCCCGGTGTTTAGATCCCTCTGATGAAGAAATTTATCGACCCAGAATATCCAGACGATTTTGTTTTCTTTTTTTTTTAAATGACTTAGAATCTAAGCGTCTGTTGACGGCCTAACTGAGGTATTCACTTCTTGGGGATGTGCTATTCCGAAACTCTTTGCATTGCTTGCACCATTCGGGCTTTCGAATCACTCGTCTCAAGGTGAGAACTGCATACGCACGAAGTTCATAACGGTTTACTAGGGCAAAATGAACAGACGCAAATTTCGTCTGATCGTGGTGTCTGTACTTTACGCAAAGTGGGATCATATTCATCAGAACGAGGGTTCAGATGATGGGCACAGCACGAGTACCAGAGAGTTGCAGATCGCTGGAACGCATGAATGGACCAGGTCGAGAATGAAACGAGTGTGTACGGTCCAACAGGTTGCTTTTTCGACTTGTTGTTCGGTATTGATGGTGGTACTGATGTCTTCGGCTGTGACAGTTTGCTCACTCACCCAAAGATTTTTGTCTGATATTTGATCCTTATCGCTTCAGCATTTGTTGTACTGCCCCGTAGATGTATTGTGAAATCTACATTTGAGGCTTTTCTAAGCGTTTGTTTTCACCAATACTTGGTATCAAAACCGTTCCTCATAAGGTTGAGTGTGCCTCCTGTTTAGGCAGAGAGTCCATTTGATCGAGCCAGCTCAATAATTTTCCAACCCAACCGTTTGAATGCTGTTGCGCCAAGTGTGATGCAGTCCCCATCATTTTGCACTCTCTGCACCCTTTCCATTGGCTCATTGGTGTTCACGTCACTGATTAGAGCTTCGGTTTGACAGTCTGTTGTGGCGTGAGCAGATCTGTTCCAACATTCCATCGTTTGTTCGATCTAGGCGACCCATACTCATGGGGCTAAGATAATCATATGGCTGTAACACCCTTTTGGTGCCTAGCTGCCATGCTACCCGAAGGAAGCACGAGGTCTGGGATACTGCCAGGTTGCCCAAGCCTAGACAGGAAAAGTCGAGAGGCAGGAGTCGGATGCGAACCACGGACCGTCCGTTCGGTAAATTCGCGCTATAACCACTGAGCCATTTCAACTCCCTAATAAGAGGTCTACATTTGGTAGTGTTTTATACTCTGTTTGATTCGTAAATGACGAAGATATTGGTAGCGCAGCTGAGATGAACAGACTGATCGCAAAATTCCATCTTCAGTCCGGATGACACCATCATTGTAGAGGTGACTCACACTTTCGCCAGCCAGCCATCTCAACCTGGAGACAGAGTCAGTTGTAATCCAGAAATTTCATGGCCTGAACCATTTCATGTGTGCCTCCGCGATTCCTCAATCTAGCCCGAGAACATTTAGAACCCTCTCCGTCATTGACATCACTTCGCATGCAAGAAAAATAGCATGTTCCTATGGACATTTCCCCCGGATCCGACTCTGTGGGGAAGCTGTTAGGAGAGACCTTACCATACACCATTGCTCGCCCGAAAGTATGTGAACAAAAGGTTTGGATTGTGTTCGCAAACTTTTGGCTGGAAGCTTTGAGCGATGGGCACAGACAGACGGCACATTTGCAGTCAAGTAACTGCAAGATTGTGAGCAGTCTGACATAAGGTGAGAACGTATGCTATGTTTATTGTTCAGGACTGTTAGCATGGATCCCACAAACTAATTGTTGTGGACCACAGTCTCCTTAGTGCCTTCTTATTACCGTGAACCCCGGTCTGGATAGCCGCCTGATCACCTGGTGCGCTTCACCAAAGTCACCAAAAGTCAACGTGTGTACCAGCTGCTCTATTGATCTCTGTCGCGTACAAGCGGCTCAAAAAAGTGATACTAAGAATACAACTCATCTGTCAAGGCCGAGTGAAGAACAACCAATGAAATCTGTCTCTCAATGAAAAACGGTTGTTCGATTGGCTGCTATGTAGTCCCGTTACGTTCGGAGCTGGTTCTCTTAATACAAATAATTTCTTGTCTATGTGAAATGTAAGACATTCTAGCAAGGTTTCTGAGAATCCAGTCCCTATTCCACTTTCGAGCACAACTTAAATACACATTGGAAGTGAAAGAGGTGAGGACGCCGAGGATAGTCAGCGAGAATCGTTCCTGTAGTTGCTAATCTTAGAACGCTTGTCCCGCAGCAACATGTTCTTGGGACGCGTATCGTACACAGCCTTGTTACTATTCTGCATGACGCTCATTTATTGTCAACTGGAAAAAAACAAACATCTGGTGACTATTTTCGAGAGAGGAGGGTCAGACAGACTCATATTCCCAACACATCCAGTCTCCATCATATCATTGGTTCTTCCATCCCGTCTGATCATTTAAGTAGCACAGAATGCTGGTAGGTCGATCATGCAGCTGGTTGGTTTGCTGAGCTACCCAACAACTGAACTGACGTCATCCTGCGGCACAGCCTCAGCAGGTTTGCCGAGTTTCAACTGGTCTCACCAACAACTGAACAACCTGAAGCGCGCCATTAGCAGGTGAGTGTGGACCATTCATGTTTGGACCTGAAAACGGACCCTCGTTATGACTGACAAGATGACGTGTTTAAAATGATGCCTGAAGAAAATCTAACTGTGACAACGGGTTGCATAATCTACTTCTCAAATCGGAGATGCACGAACGGCTGGTGATGTAACTTGTTGCAGGTTTTTTCGGTTTACCCCAAAACCCATGAATACGTCTAAACGAAACGATGAGTCAGAAAGCATGCTCAGTTTTTGTATTGTGAAACAGTACGTGTTACATGTGAGGATTACTTTGAAAGACTGACAGGATTTATGTACAGGCGACATGGCTCTCTGCATCTGTCTTAATGACGACCGGAAAAGTGAGACTGAACAAATTCGGCACTAGCTATCATGTGTGGAAGACGTCTTTGTCTCGAACTCCCAGCGACTTTTCCGATGTTCCCTCAATAGCACGTAGCACTGGACCACATCACCAACTTGCCAATTCGAGATGAAATTCTCTGAAGGATCCAACACCCTGAGCTTTCCTTTGCTACTTCCAGCAGAGATCTCGGGATCTGTTAGCGCGAGTCCACATTCGACTCCTTTGCGGATCGAATCCACCGCGGTTCGCTCGTGTCGCAGAGAGCGGCAGATGGCTCGGCTTACCAACACTGTACCCGCTTCGTCGCCATCAGAATGGTCTTCGTTCACGTTGGAGGACGATCGAGTTGGGCGGATTAGACGGTAGTGTACGGCAACAACCTCCCCGAGTAGTGCTTTCGGATCAAGAAGGAACAGTAACGAAACAGTAGAAAGTGCGCTGAACGAGTGGTATGTGACAAACGAAAATGAGCTGAGACAGGTCAAACGGGGCAAAATCGATTAACCCCGTCCCTTCTAGCCTTTGGAGGACTTGCCGCGGAGTAAGTGTATTTATCCGACAAGTTCATCATTAAAAAAGATGGATGTAATCCTCGATGTGAGAAATTTCCTAAGAGGATTCCCTATCTTCGGTAGGGGAACTTATCCCAATGTATTCGGAGAGTACCGTTCAGCTGTAGCGCCCTTTCGGTGCCTAAATGCCATGCCACCCGAAGGTTGAATGAGGGCTGGGATACTGACAGGTTGCCCAAGCCTAGACAGGGGAAGTCGAGAGGCAGATGTTGGGTTCGAACCACGGACCTTTCGGTCAGTAAATTCGCGCTCTAACCACTTCGGAGAGTATACCTTGTAGGTTGGCTAGCATTCCATTCAGTCTCAGTTTGTTTACGCCGCATTATCATGGACTAACGCGCTGACTCATTGTATTTGGTCAAACGACAGGGTAGTATTCGTAACGGGTGGTATCAATGATTGAAGGAGCACTTCAAGCAGTAATTTTTTAGATAGCGCAAGCCCAAGACTGAAGTGATTTTCCCTACGTCGCAAGCAGTCAAAAGCATTTTTTTTAGAGACGTCAAACAGCTTAGTTCACAGTGCGTCAGAAAAACACGTAAGTAATGACACGGGCGCCTGCATTGTGTACACGCGGCCAACTGGTCCGCTTTCGTGACGGGTGAGCAAACAACTGGGTCACATTCAGTCGACCGACAGCGTTCACGCGAGCAAATCAATCGGACGCGCACCCAATCAACCACTCAAGTCACAGGTCAGATCGATGATGGAACGACGTACGGACATGCACACGCGCAAACTCTCTGACACACCGAAGCAGCTGCTCTACACCAAGGCATCTCTCCCTCACCGTATCACACCCACTTTACTATGTATGGGCCAGATGAATGCGCCTAGCTGATGAGCCCCAAGAAGAGCGAAACCGGTCGTGGGCTGTCGAAGAGTTTTCAGCAATCTTGTGAGTAGTTTCCAGATGTCTCACTGTTTGCTCTTTCTTCTCACTAACATAATGTGGGTCAGGAGCCCGACACAGGAAATGGGAACATGATAAAGTACTGAACCGTGAAAGATCCGACATGGTCATGAATTCTTACATACGTCTGGCGGAGACAAAAAACGAAGCCAGATCAATCTCTTGCTATCTATACATGGATAAAGACCAGAAGCAAACGACGTTAGCCAAAGCCATCCTATACCGAACTCGGTGTTTTTGTTCTGTTTGCTGCTTTCATCACTGTCAGGTGCAATTCCAGAAACAGAGCAGCCGTGAAAGAAACACTGAGAGAGAGAGTTGGAGTTAGCTTGGGCGAGATAGCCCGAGAGCACAAATTTACTGACCGAAAGGTCCGTGGTTCGAACCCGACCTCTGCCTCTCGACTTACCCTGTCTAGGCTTAGACAACATGGCAGTATTTCAACCCTTAGGAAACCTTCGGGTGGTATGGCAGTTAGGCACCGAAAGGGTGCTACAACTGAACGACGATATCAGTAGTAAACCACGTTACAACGGTTCGATCGACAGTTCACATTAGACTGTGTGCATGGAGGTCGCATTCCGAGCCACATCACACAGCCATAATACGGAATAGTCTGGAGCAAAGCAATACAACTCAGCAACGACAAAGTTTTCATCGCCCTTGTTCTTGCATCAAAAGTTATTGGAAACACAGTTTTCCCCCAATATCTTTGGCACCCTAACCACCGCGTCCAACATTTCTGATACACATTCCAGACTCGCAGACGATATACGGTTGTGCAATCACCAGTTAACACCGAAATTGTGTCACAAAAACGCATTCGAATCGTTTCATCTTCACGTACAGTACAATGTTTGACCCTAGGCCTACCACACGTGTCAGCGGTAATATCCTGATGAATGATCGCCCGTCGGAAGAAGAAATCAAATACGAAATATCCGTGGTAAAACGTGAGAGAGTACCAGAATCGGAGGTCTATATCCGGTCCTCTTCAAAGGCGGAGAATTCCTGGTGACCCATCTGACAAAACATATTCGCGCTGTATGGAACCAAGAGAAGGTGTCTGCAGATTGGGGCATGTCGACAGTTATTCTTATCTTCAAAAGGGTACGCGGACGCTGCGTGAAAACTGCCGTGGGATCAGCCTGGTAGCTGTGACATCGAGGGTCCTTTCTTGCCCTACCCTTCGACGGTTGACTGAACATAGAGGGAGGCAGATTCGTGAAAACCAAACTGTGTTACGTCCTGCGAAAGGATGCATCATTCATATCTCCACCCTCCGAAAAATTTTGGAACAGCAACCAATAATGATTGTGTTTCTTGAATCGAAAGCTGCCTTTGACTCTGTGGACCGCCAAGCACTATGGCAGTGTCTGTGGAGCAAAGGTGTCCCCCATAAATTCTTGACCCTCATTAAGGCGCTGTACGCGAACTCTCGCGGCCGTGCGAAGGTCCAGTGGAAGCTCTCGTTTGTGTTCACCACATCAAATTGTGTCAGATAGGGCTGTCCTCTTCAACTTCGTCACCGATACAGTTATGGAAAGCTTACTATCAGCCCCTAATACCTGTGGGATCGAAGTGCTCCCTGGCGTTTGCTCACAGATATCCAGTACGCAGACGACATAGCGCTTCTGGGATCTGATCCCGTGGTAATGCAAACAATATTAAATAATCTAAATAATTCTGCCTCGCGGTTTGGTATTGAACTTCACACCTGCAAAGTGTAAATTGCTACTGCAAGACTGGATGAGCTCGAACTCTAGCTTCATGCTTGCGGATGAACCGACTGATATAGTAGACAAATTTGTTCGCCTGGGCAGCCATATCAGTCCCAGTGGTCTCGCGAAAGATGATATTTCCACCAGGATTGGGAAGACCAGAGAAGCCTTTGTGAACTTGCGTCACCTGTGGCGTAGGCGTGACATCAGCTTTTCTGTCAAGAGTCGAGTTTACAATGCTGCGGTGTGCTCCATATTACTATACGGATAAGAAACCTGATCACTGCGCCCCGAGAACGTCAAAAGACCATCGATACTTCGTAGCATTGCCCGGGTGTGGTGGGAACACCGGATAAGCAAGGCTGAAGTACGTCGAATGGTAATCGAGGGGAAATAACTCACCCTCAGTAGATGAACTGATCACACTTGACAGGTTGTCCTGGCTCCGTATGCTAGTCGACCGACTTCCTCGAAAGGATCTTTTCGCACAACCGCATTAAGGATGGAAACGAGACAGAGGCGGTCAAACAATGACTTGGCAGCTGGTAATTGCCGTCTTACTGGATGGGGACCCCATAGACGGGTCATATCAACGGTTAGAGATATTGTCAGACATGGCGCAGTCGCGCCCTCAATGGCGCTCGTGCATCAAAGCTATTGCCTTCAATGCATAGCTCCTTTCCCAATCCCGCCACTTAACAGTCCACCTACAGTGCTGCATTTATGCACTAATTTATCAGCTCTCGCCTCCAATGCGCAGCTAACTACCCCACGTCCTCGAATCATCGGTGAACGAAACAGTGGCAGCTACAACCACTGTACGACAAGTACGCGGCTCGCACATCTGATGATGATGATCATAATCATGGCCGAATTCCCTCAAATAACAGTGAAGAACTGATAATCACAAGGACACAAAGACAAGATGGTCACGGTAAAAGTGTGCACTAGAGTTGCGTGGTTTTTTGACATCAGTAACCTGCATTATCCACATGTGTGTGTAATGGAAGAGAACAAGCTAAAATTCACGGTTTAGGGAAAAACGGCGTCATAACCAGCCCTGATGCCGGAGGGAAGCCCAACATACCTTGATCTGGTGGCAATTTTGGTGCTCCCTGACCACCTGCCAGAAGTACCCCTTTTGTACAACGACATCCAGCCACCGGAATACGCAGAGGTTTGCTCCCGCCCCCACGAGATTCCTTGACTTCAAAAAGTTGTAAAATCTCCGCTTCACCTGAAATTGGGGACAAAAGTCCAGACTGTGGACAACGTAGGCGAGGAGATGGAACGCTAAAGATACTTAAAACATAAAGCAACATAAGCAGCAAATAAGCAGTGCGTTTCACACACAGAAAATGTTGGAGTAAAGGCGAATCAACTTACACACTGACTGTTGTCAGACTAAAATAGACCAAAATCACTGTATATCGTAACAGTTTAAGCCGAACACCGAAAACCATGCAGTAGTCGAGAAATACACTCATTTGCAAATCAACTTGGTTTTCACGAGAGATTCAACTGAATCTCACCCACCCCCTCACCTCTCTCACTCATCTCTCACCCCTCACTTGACAGCCCACTGACAGTGCTGGATTTAGGCACCAATTTATCAGCTGCCGCCTGCAATGCGTAGCTATCTAAGCCCCACCCAAATCATCGGTGAGCGAAACTGCGGCAGCTACAACCACTGTACGACGAGTACGCGGTTATTACAGCTGACAATGATGGTGATGATGATCATGATGTAGCCCGCACGTGACAAATCCGTCCAGTCGACGTGAAGTTCGTTTATTACGATCGGCTGGCCACTAAGAGAACGGATTCGAAGAACACACAAGTCTTCTTGGAAATTCGGAATAAAAAGCGTAATCCCTAACAAAAAAAATTCTAAAGAAAAATGCGTAAGAACGCGCAGAAACCTCGCCAACAGTGTAAATCATCATGACAACCACTCACCGACCACTTTCTCCACAAATGATGACGGTAACAGCTGATTTACCATTTCCCGTACATCCTCTGCCAAACGGTAGATGATATTGTGCTGTCTGACAGAAACATGGAGAGATTCGGCGAGTTGTACGGCACGTGGTAAAGGGGTTACGTTGAACAGAAGCACTGTGGCTGGTGAAAGAGTAGTGGAGAAAAACAGATGACTCATATCCTATGGGGTTGCGTTTGATTTGCATAAGTGGGGAAAATTCAAATAAAAACCAATCGGCATGAATCTCAGGACTTTCCAGGAAATGCCCCTCTCCTACACGGGTCACAGTAGTGCTCTATTCACCAAACAGAAGCCCATGCAGTGTCCTATCCTCGAGGAATTTTCGGACAGTGGGGATACTGTTAAGCTTGCTATCAAGACGAACACAGTCATCAGCAAGAACATTATGTGTTCAGTTCGAAGATAGCCGGTCATCTTGGTTTAAAGGTTCCGTGTCATAGCTGAATCTCCGCGAATTATCTCTCGCTGAGGATAACGGTGGACAGGTGATGCGATTTTCCAACTCCCCTACTGGCCCTTGGATCGCTGCTCCACTCACTATGATACATCCAAATGCAGGACAGCTTGAGAGAGCCTTTTATGAGACCAAGGGAATGACTACAATCATAAATAAGAAGCCATCATGAAATCGCCAACACAGTCACGCTAGAATCTGCGCGGTGGAACACGAAACGCCGAGCTGAACAAGTCTGATTCTCACCGATCTCACGGTCTCTTCAGGTTCTGGTTCCGGAGGTCTGAATGTACAAGTGGGCAGGCACAGCACATCTAAGACTCCGTCAGGTGGTCGACATGGACCGGATTCCACGCGTGCAGATAATGGCGAACGAGTGTATTAGCTATGCGATAACCACAGGATGCTTTTATGCATAATAGCTTCCGGAATAAGTGAAGCCAACATACTAATTAGCAACCCAAATTGATCACATCTCCAGTAGTTACCGATGGCGTGGATCAATAACTCCCTTTGGTTCCGACCGCGCCATCGTACGGAGTCGCTCCAGGACCGCATGCGGTGCAGATAAATGACTTAGAAACGGAGAGACTGGCAGATCCGGAAGTTAGGCAAATGTATCAGAATTGCCTTCTGAAGTCTCTCCCAACTATTCCACTATCAGGCGTGAATTCATGCTGGAAGTAGATCGCCACATCTATGCACAGTGCGGGAGTTCTTCCCATGATACGCTGCTATTAAACCTCAAGCACAGGATATCAGAGAGAACCGCCACCCCGCCGGTCTCCAACATAACTTGGCCCGATGAAGTATCATCATCATCAAGTATCAGACGTCAACTGAAAGTGGGCGAGCGCCTGGTGGGCACGAAAGGTTCAGGAATTAAACGAGGCTCACGAGGATGGCAATGCCTGAAGATCATTTCAGTTGATCCGCACGAAATATCTCCAGAAACCACCTGTGAGCGGAACAATCAAGAATCAAAGTGGCGCGACAATCTTGAATAAAAAAGAACGCATTGACCGAATACTTTGGACAACATCTTTCGCGGCTACCCGCTACCTTCCGTTTGGATCCTACAGCTGAAGAAGAACCATGGACAGTGGACCTGGAATACCCTGTAACCCCACATGACCGCATGCATTCCCTCAGGCGCCAGTGGGCTCATGGTACGAACCGTTTGGCTGCATTTTGGAAGAACAACTGGGAACAAGTGGTGATGGTACCCAGTATCAGAAAAGGGGGCTCCTAGTGGGTGCGGTAATGACAAAGAGATCAATTTGACCCAGGTTGCAGCGACACGCCTAGCGTCAGTGCTTCAGCATCGTAAAACACTGACACGAAAGAAGCAAGCAGCATCCTATCGGGGAATGGCCTGAGTTGACCAGATTTTCACAATCCGTCAGCAATGCCAAACGTATAAACGACCCACAAGTTCAGTAACCATGAATCTCCACGGCGCATTGGGCTCAGTCGACCGGTCCGTTCTCCTAAGCATGCCTCCGAGGCAATGGATGCACGAAAAGCTTCCGTAGATAAACTGGTGGTCATTAAGGGTACCCATTGCATCAACTCCTAATTGATTCCGTGATCAGTGAGATAATGACACGAACCGCCGAACGTCTTCGATGGTTTGCAAGAAAAATCTTGTCGACCTGGAATACGTAGGCGAAATCGTTCTCGTCTTGGATGCGAAACGGAAGGCACAGGTGTTTTCGATAAGCTGACAAAGGTTATCCCGTTCTTTGGTGTGCGCTTTGCAACCACAAAGTATAAGATGATACTTCTGGACATGGAGTCACTGAACAGGCCACCTACAATTCAAGGGAAGACACTTCAGAGTGTGGAGCATCTCATGCACCTTGGAAGTTGGCCTAAAGGACGCAGCTTCTGGTGCTGGACAAATTCTTCAATGGAAGTACCCGTTGCACAACCGAAGACTCGCTTCCTAATTGCCTCTATAGGGATACGCCCACATCAATCTACACGAGCTATGGTTCTGGGACAACGATTGTCGAACACCTGAAGACGCCTCAGACCAAGTCTCACAGCCATACAACAAAACAGCCCGTACCGTAGCTTGATAGATACGTCCCTTAGGATTCAGAGGGTGTCTCAAATTAGCAAACGCAAACCGGAACTTGCAGATTTGTACATTCACCTCATCTGTCACACTGCAATCACAACTAATACAACTTCCAAGATACGCTCCACAACTTCCGGTACCTCTTCATGGACTGTGAGTGGCGCGTTCAGTGGCTGCACGTCCACAAGCATGACCTTACACTTTGTGGGTGCAAAGTGCATACCAAAGGACGGGATGACTTTGGTCAGTTCATTCAAAACACCTGCAGCTTCCGTCCCTCTTCGAAGACAAGAACGATTTCGTCCACATATTCCAGATCGATAAGGTTCTCACAGGGTTTTGAAGACCTTCTAGCGTTCGGTTCATTATCTCACCGATCACGAAATTAAATAGGAGTTGACACAGTAGGTACCATTGATCGACAGCACCATGTGTACGAATGCTTTTGGAGGGCCCTTCGTATAACCTCACAGGTCCGAATACAAAGACCACTAAAATTGTGGACCGTTTGTACGTATAGTAATAATAATAATAATAACAATAATAATAATAATAGATCATTCAGCTGTAGCACCCTTTCGGCGCCTAGCTGCCATGCCACACGAAGAAGACACGAGGGTTGATATACTGTCAGGTGGCCCAAGCTTAGACAGGGGAAGTCGAGAGACAGAGGTCGGGTTCGAACCACGGATCTTCCGGTCAGTAAATTCGCGCTCTAACCACTTGGTCCATCCCGCCCCCGTTTGTACGCATGGTGAAAAGTGATCTCGCACTAAATTAGATTAGTATGCCATACTCCCAATGTTAACGTTTTTTTGCAAAAATTGTCTTGAATTATGTCCTAGAGTCGAGATGCAATACGTTGCCATTTCCTGCCAAACATCGCTACCTTGCGTTGACCAAATCGTCACACCCCGTTAGGCGCTAGAACAACGCCATACGTATAAACGACCCAAAATTCCAGTGTTCCTGGATTTCCATGGCGCGTTTGACTCGGTTGATCGGTCTGTTCCGCTTGACACGCTTGCCAACGAAGGAATTAGCCGGAAGTCCGTAACACGGTAAGCTGTTTGTATTCCCAGACTTCTGGACGTGTGAGAGTAAACGTCGAGCCCTACAAAGGCTTCTGTACACTAAGCGGTGTCCGTCAGTAATGGACACTCTCCCTACCTAGTTAAGTTCGTGATCGGTGAAGTCATAAGGCGAACGCTGGAGGGTCTCCAAAACACTAGTGTTCAAGTAGCCTGTGACAAAAACCTTGTTGATTTGGAATATACGGACGACATCGTCCTCATGTTCGAGGAAAAGAAGGCGTAGGTGTTTTTGGATGAACTGAACAAGGTCATCCTGTCCTTTGGTATGCACTTTGCACCCACAAAGTGTAGGGTCATGCTTGTGGATGCGCAGTCACTGAACGCGCTATTTAAAATCCAGGGAGAGGTACGGCAAGTTGTGGAGCGTTTTACGTATATTGGAAACTGTATTAGTTCTGAATGTAGTGTGACAGATGAGGTCAATGCACGAATCTGCAAGGTCCGATTCGCGTTTGCTAATTTGAGACACCTGTGGCGTCAAAATGTTGTATCCCTGAATTTCAAGGGACGTGTGTATCAAACTACAGTGCGGGTTGTTTTGTTGTATGGCTGTGAGTCTTGGACTGTTCGAGCAGCGGAAGTGAGATGTCTTCAGGTGTTCGACAATCGTTGTCTCAGGACCATAGCTCGTGTGAATTGTTGTGGGTAGGTCCGTAAAGAGGTAATTAGAAAGCGAGTTTTCGGTCACCGCGTGGTGTAATTGGCCCGATCATCTTACTTGCTGCGTGAAGCGGAACAGATAAGCGATCTTCGATCCTATTAAGTTACTCTTCTTGCAGATCTATCCGTTAAAACTGACAACCCCATTCGTTTCGAATTGCTCGTAGTTTCGCGTCAGCTGTTGCCGGCAGCCTTAGGCATCTCAAAATCGCGGCGGCAGTTAAACTAGCTGCCTTCAACATTCGCGTCCAAAATCGATCACGATAAATGGTCAGTCTTCTCTCACTTCTGGTTGCAAACCGCTGGGGATCTGGAGGGCTCTGTTCGTCAGACATTCGTTGCCTAGCGAAATACAATCATCTGCATACTTATTTGGTTTTGACGGGAGAATCATTTGGAACCCGGCTAGATCTCTCGTTCATGATAATTTTAAGCAACTGAATGCCCTGCACCAGGTCGCTTCGTGTTTCACTTGGCACGAAATTCGAAATATCGCAATACATGTTATGGACATAATGTACTACTCATATGGTTTCTGAACACTCTTCCAAACAGAGGTTACTGTCCTGAAGAAGGCACAATGAGATTCGACATCAACCATTCAGGAGGTTTACTGAGATGCGGAAATCTGATAAAGTATATAGCAACGCAAAATAGGACCTGACGTGAAAAGATGCGGCAAAAGTTCACGGACTAGCTACGTAACACAATCGCTGCATACACAGGAAAATTTCTGGGTTGTCCGACGTGTGAAAACTTTTCAGCTCATCACTTTTTGGCGCACAGTGTAAGACACCACAATCGCTTCAGTTTGCCTATAATACGGAGACAATGAAACCAGGATTGTTAGGGACATCCTACACAGCAACGTACGTGAACGTTCACACCTCTGGTTCCGTACCTGTTCATCAGTTTTCTAGCAACCGGTGAATGCCTGGGTATTCAATAGAACGAAGTAAGAAGGCTATTAGAACGTATTGCATTCACCACTCACCATCCAGTGCTTCCGCTGTTTCCACCTCGGATTCGGTGAGCGGACCGACACCTGATTGTCCGAACTCGAGGACGCATTCGTCCGAAGGACAGGTGGACAGAATGGTCCGAATGGCTTCCAAACTGCCATGCACATCTGTCTTGATCAAAAGAGGCAACACCGGAACACCGCTCTGAGTGGCCTGAATGACTGACTGGAAATCAGGACGATTCGCCTGAAAAAAATAGATTGACGGGAGAGAGAAGTAGCGGTGTACTGTCTGCACCTAACGTTCGCCTAACGTCTATGCAGGAAGAACAACTTACTGAAAGTTTGCGCCACATGACCCGAGGGGATTTCGCCCGCTCGCGCAGAAACTCGTTATACTGTTCCTGATAAGGAGCCATTTTGTCAAGGTAGGCACTGTGATCCTCTTCAGCCTTCTTCTGCATACGGATATTTCGACGGAACCGGATGACTTCAGTAGCTTCGGACTACAGTGGATGAAAGCAAACGACACTTTGAATTACCACTGTAGGTTGAGCTGAGGAGCTGAATCTAGATAAAAGTACAGCTCATCAGTGCAGAATGTGAAACTGAAAAGAGCTAGCAGGGAGGATGGCGCCAGGAGATTGAGAGTGTAAGCACATACAAAACTGCTGTTCAAGTCACGATTGCGACCTTCTGGGAACACCAGCATCATCATCGACAGCACGATATGTGTTCAACACCGATGCTTCACTGCCGTACAACCATGATTTATTTGAAAGCCTTATTGTAGAGAAAAGAATAAAAGTGGACGAAGAAGGGACTTGCTGCTAGCTTACCACAATCATTCCGAGGTGCGCAAACCTCCAGACACTCACTCAGGCAAACTGGATAAAAACTAGCAACAAGAACGCCACTGATATCGGTTGGCAGCTATATCATGTACTTTCTCCAACCATGCAGTGAGGATAACGCGGTTCCCATCTGTAAGGCAAAGCGTTTCATGATATCCTTCATACTCCTCTACCAAGTCAAGGGTTGGCCACCTCTCTGTTTACGTTAGAACTCTCTTCGGCAAGCGATGGTTCGGCGTACGCAACACATGTCCCAACCAACGCACCTTCTGGTTCTGGACACATTCTTCAATGGAGGTACTCGTTGCACAACCGAAAACGCGCTTTCTAGCTGCCTCATTACGGATTTGACGAAAACATCAGCGTCCACTGGAGACGGATATTTGGTGGTCCCATCTGCTGATCTTCAATTAAGTAAGAGTCTGAAATGGTAAAGAAGGTGACAGAAAACAACTCACCATACTCGTCAGTTCCAACACGAGAGAGCCCGCCGGAGGTAAGTCTTTCCATCCAGCGACCTTCGCGACGTAACCTGGACTGACGGAGGTAATCCGTTCACCACGATCGTTCAGTATCATACGTGGGCTGCAAATAGCTTCACTTGCAACCAACGGGCCGCTAGCTGGGGTCTTCTGAAGTTGGCCTCGAGTTACCAAACAGGTGGCAACTTTGCTAAATCAAACGGAGAACGAAAGTAAAATGATAGCAACCTGAAACGCTTAGAAAACAGTAAGAAAATCGCCTGTTGAACAGAACAATGCTTGGCACAAACGGGTGCGGCTGATTCACGACTGTCGTATTCTAAATCGCCATGTGAGGACACTCATCGGATGGCGAGGGTCACCTTCATCGGGCTCCACAGACATGTGGAAAAGCGAAATTTTGCTGAGTGGCTCGAAGAACGTGTGTGTGTCACCGGCCATCACCAATGGGATCTACGAAGACCAAAGTTGGTGGACCACGAGGAATTCACACCGACCAATCTTCTCGACACACCGCAAGTAATCAATCAGCGATATTGATAACGCCGACCTACCATTCACTCTATTAGTACCCCAAACGACGAACGAGTACTATAAGACCTACGGCCGAGTGAGTAGTCAACAGTATCATCACAAATCGATCGGCCGATTTAGTTGGATCGTGTACTACTATCTGGGTGGCCCGGGTTTGGATCTCACATAGGCTTCGTCAAACTGGCTGCTGGTCACCGTCCCGAGACTCTGACTGGACAACCCTGGAGACGGCTTACTTTCGTACCAAAACATGGTTTGATTGGCATTGCAACTCAGAAGGAAAAAACAGATGCACTACTCATAAGGTTGCTGGAAATTCGTCGACAGCCCACGACCACTTTCGCCCTTCTTGGCGCTCATCAGGTAGACGCAGTCCCGGAGTTTCCGTCAAGCTTATGTTCTACTTGAAACCAAATTGCACGAAGCGAGCGAAATACACTCATTTGCAAACTAATTTGGTTTTGCGAAACTCGGGGACTGCGCCTACCGGATGAGCCCCAAGAAGGGCGAAACCGCTCGTGAGCTGTCGACGAATTTTCAGCAACCTTATGAGAAGTGCATTACGAATATACATGTATCGTGATATCTTGAATATCGTAGCGACTGAAACA